ATTGTTATTTTCCCGTAAATATCCCGTATTGTGCCCCCCGGTCCTCCTCAGCTCTCATGTTAGCCCTCCATCAACCAGGCCCCGCTATGACCGCAGCACCGGACGGCGACATTTCCCGTATTCTCAAGTCCAAAACTTGACGTCTGCGCCTTCAGCTGAACCAAGCAAGTTAAATTAACCTTAAAACTACGTCTAACTTGCGTTTTGGAGTATTGCCCAATGAGGTGAGTTGATGTTGAATGTTGTAAGCTATAGAGATATATTTGTGTTGTTTTACATGTGTTTTTCTTTCTTTCTTTTCTTTTTTTTGTTCAAATTAATGAAAATGCTAGTGATTTTGTAGGCAGCTAATTAGCACAATGTTGGCTCGTTTATTGCACAGTGTGGGGTTTAATGCTGATGTAAAGTGTTCAAGGAGTAAACTATGCTTTATAATTTATTGTTTAAATGTAGCATAATTGGTGATGACATGCTCATATGGTTTACATTACAAGTAAACCATATGAGCGGTTTGTCAGTTTATCTAATCTCTGTTCATATACAGCTGCTAAATAAGAAAATGTATTTATTTTTGTTAGTGTGACTGATTTTTTTTTTATGTTGCATCTTAAAGAAGGGATCAGAGAAAAGATTATCATTATTATTAAGGGAATTTTAAATAATAATAATGTTTTGACAGTGTAATGTGTCCTTGAGCCTGCAATTAATTTATTTATACTTCCGGATACTTAGGTGTCAATGATCAGCTATTTTAAGTGTCCCCTCTGAGTGATCTCTGATTGGATGAATAGCCACAGCTGGCAGGCAGTCAGGAAGAGCAAAAGTACAGTAGAGCTCTGCTCTTCTCTCTCTCTCTCCACCTTGGCAGCTTTGTTGGGAAATTGATCAGACCCAACAACTTTGTGTGTAACTGTAAGTGGTTTGGGACTTCAGTCTACACCCACAGGATAATGTAACACATCTTAGCAACACAGCAGCGTTTATGTGGTAGCAGATACAGGGAAGGGCCAACTGCCCATGTGAAATATGGCTCTGAACTTTCACTCTGTCTCACGAGAGCTTTTAGTCTCTTGCTCAGCATGCAGGACTGTCTCAGGCTATTTACAGAGGAGGTGACTTATGAGGGCCCAGTGTAAGCTACACTCTGCTGATGTAAGGAGACACTGCCATTCTGGAAAGGCAGCAGGTTGCTGTGGTTAACTGGTGTACTGGCAGAGTGCTGGACTCAGGTGCATTATTTCTGGCTTTGTGATAAAAGAGCTCTTTGGATGTATTTATGAAAAAAGAAAAACACTGTTCAAAACCCTCAACACCTCTGTTTTAGTTCTATCTGCTGATGTACCGCGTGACTGAAGTTTTTACATAGATAAGTAGGTGGCTGAAAAACACCACAGCACTGTGAAAAACAATATCCTATACTAATACATTTGATAACTTCCAGGTGGAAGTTACTCAGACTGAGGGAGAAGATAAAAGAAAATTAAATTGTTGACATTGACATATCAGTTGACAACTAATGTTTAGCATGTTTAGTAATAGTAATGATTTCTGCTTAGAAATATCAACCCGAAAGAAGTGTGTAATAATAATAATAATATATTTTATTTGTAATGCCATTTATATGTCAAATTGAAATCTCAAAGGGAATATTCACTAGCTGATGAGGGCAAGCTACTGGATTGTAGCCACAGCCACCCTGGAGCAGTCCAACAGAAGCGGGTCTGCCGTTTTGCACCATTGACTCTTCTGCCCACCACCAGCAGGCAAGACGGGTGAAGTGTTTTGCCCAAAGACACAAATGACGAGAGCGGATGGACCGGGAATTGAACCAGCGACCTACCTATTGCATAGCAGAACGTCCAAACCATTAATGATGGTTGAAGGAAGGAATGCACTTCCTCAGGTCTATGGTTTTAATTCATAGATACGTTCTTTGCTGCATTCTAAAATAATCAAAATCTAATACTAGGTGTACCAGAGAGCCGACGATGTGATTGTCCAATATACTCTTTCTTATCTTAGTTTGTAGTTCCAAAGAAACTACAAATGATCCAGGAAGTGTAACCTAAAGCCACATTTCCCCTCTGAAACCAGCCCCCTCCTCTCGTCTTGACCATTGACATCAACACATCACGGATTCATTTGCTCTCAACCTGCAGCAGAGACCCACCTCCAAAGCCAGTTCCTCTATCTGAAGCTGCTTCATGGCGCTTCGATTCCCATCCACATTTTTGTGGTAGTAGATCACCATTACGTCGTACTTCCTCATGATGGACTTGTAGTTCTTGGCAGTGAGGGTATGGACACGGTCTTTGCCGTCATACTCGGGGATCTCCAAGCCCTTCTCTCCCAAAGACAGTGCTCCCAAAGAGAGGAAGTAGAACCCTAAAAACACCCATGTCCACTTCATGGTGATTGTTAGCAGTACAAACAACTCAAAGCCCTCTGGATGAGGGAGTTTCGGAGGACAAGAAAGCACTTAAAATGGTTTCTACTTTCCCCTAATGGGAGAGTACGTCCAATTCCTGTCCACAATAGCTGGAGAAGAGAAGGTCTGACATTGATACTGTCTTTATAAAAGGAATATCACATGGTTTGCTGACATCACTGGCCAAAGAGGTGGGACTATCTAGGTGGGACAACCCTTGTCCACAGGACATGGAGCTGCCAAAAAAAGTAGGGGTAAAAGTGGGGGGACTTGTGAGTGGAGGTCAGAAATATCACATGGTACATTTAAAGTTTAGAGGGGCCTCACTGACACCTGTTTGAAGCTGTTCAGACGAGAAGTGACCGTGTTACTGTTGGGTGTACGAAGACTAGTGGATCAGTTGAATTTCTTGGAAGACAGAAGACAGAAGGAACTGATGACAGGAAGAAGACAAACAAGACCCGATTGGAAATTTCACAGAGGAACAAACTGAAGCTTCTGCAACAATAGAAGGAAAGAAACTCAGTCCAAAAGTCATCTTCTTAAGAGGATGGTATTACAAAATTCCTTGTAACATCAAAGTGGATGAAGCCTTTTGAGAGCCACATGTCAAAAACAGAGACATCAACGTTCCCTCAAAATTGCAGAAATAAGCTTGTTTCCAGGGGCATCTGCAAACCACTGGGCTATTAACAAACTCAAAAGAAAAGCACCAATCAGTGTGATGGCAGTGCAGCTATGACGTTCTTCATATTGTTAATGTTCTGGCAGGCTTTGTAGCCACATTCCCTGTTGGACTGAAGTAGAAGATAATGGCCTCCCAGTGTCACTTTGTCCCTGCTCAGCCGTTGGACCAGAGTGTGAAGTTCATTATAACCTGAGGGGGGAAAGAGATGGAAAATGGAACGATAAAAACAGACAGACCTAACACAGTAGTCACACAGAGCATGTCACAGACAGAGGGGGACACTGTCAGCTGTGAGTTTATAATGAGAGAAGGGGAGAGGGTGGCTATTAATAACAGTATGTAATCCGATCTGTTTTCTCCCCCTGTCAGAGGGCTGATTTCACCCGGGCTATGAACTGATCTGAATACATGTTTCTTTGTTGTTGTTGTTTTATTTTTTTATCTGAATGCCAGCAAGGGGTACAAGGGAGCTGGGCACTGCTTCACAGGCGGGTCGTCACCACAGTGTGCTGGCTTTGTATGAGACAACTTCTGAAACCTTTGAGTCACTGCGGGAGGTTTATAAACCGTTCTGATGCAAGGGGAATCTTTTTGAACAAACACACCTCTTTGATTTCATAAGTTTTTTTGAAATATGATGCTTAAAACAGCCAACACAGCATTGGGTTGAATATGGACCTATCCTGTTGTTGAGTCACACTAATGTTAGGTTTTCTCACCCAAAAGTGGATTTATTCCTCTTGCGGTCTTAGCACAACGCTCAGGTGGAGTGCAGCAGATGTCACAGTTGGACAGCGGGGAAGAGGTGAGGGTGGGAATGGGGGCGGGAGAGGGCGGTTGTCCTGTCAGACCATCAGTTCCCGAAACCACACACCTTGTAAAAGTGCAGGCGTGATCATTGTGACCCCAGTGGACTGCCACAGGGTAAAAAGCTTGCAGGGTCCCATTTACCCCATCTAATGTCTACTATTAGCATGCAAGTCAGCTAGCTTACAATCATCTTTAAGGGTAGGGAGAGGGTTTGGCAAAACAGCATATAGATACTGTACAGTGTGGAAATGACCTGTACTTGTGTAGTGCTTTATTGAATTAAAAGACTTCAAAGTGCTTCAGTAATGAACTGTGAGTCGTTTCTTATGATTGTAAGTTTTAAGCTCATTGCTACTAGCTGCTCTGACACTGTGACTTTATCCATGATAAAGAATCAGCTTTACGGGCCAAGTTTGTGTGCACGAGTTTCTTTCACAGCATACAAATTTCAAGTATGAATACATAAAGTCTAGGAACTTAAAAAGGATACAAAAAAGAATATGTAAATGTGTCTACACTCAATATTTTTTTCTTTATCTTTTTAAAGGCAGGTTGTGACAGTACAACTATGCTTTGTTTTTTTCTGAGATGTTTGTAACGTATTTCTTGACCTCAGACCTGTGAAAGTACTGGATGGAGGAAAGAATCAAGCCTGGTAATTTTGTTTGAAGCCCTGATCTTTAAATTAGTTTATTATTATTATTATTATTATTATTATTATTATTATTATTATTATTATTATTATTATTATTTCTTTTTGGCTAATTTATTCTAGATTTTCAACCCAGCACATCTAGTTTCAACATCTTTTAATCAAATAGCATATTGTGAAACTATACATTTTCTCCAATAATGCGAGCTATTGGTGAAAGAATAGCTTGGACAAAATTGGCTATGGATTTGTAAATTATTTCTATCAGTCAAAGACGGTGTTTTAACAGCTTTAACAAATCCACCAAATTACTGTTTCTTCCTCTTATTTATGAGATGCAGAGCTATTCTGCTGACTGGAAGCCTTTGAGCGCTCCTACCGACGCTGTATTAAACATTTTGAAAAGTGAGGACGGAAGACAGTAGAAGACGGGCTGCGGGATTTGTCAAAGCCTCATCAGGGAACCTTCTAGCAGATTTTGACAAGCAATTCGCTCCCAATTCTTTAGCAGTCAGCTTCCATCCTCAGTGTATCATCAGTGAGAATGGCTTCATTAGACTTCTGCTGTCACTCACAGCTGCTTTTTTTCCTCTCTCTCTCCATACTGCAACAGGCAGGAAGTATCAAAATGCCTTCTTCATTAACGGAGCCGTTCGGCAGTTACCCCTCTATGGTAAACGGCTCCCCCCTCTGGCAGAAGCTCCAATTGACCCACATTCGCCCAATTACAGCTCCTTCTTCGTCTCCTCTCGGCGCGTTTTGAAACTCAGAAGCAAGGTGAGTCATAATAACATCTGTGTGGTTTTTATGTACAGGTCATTAAGCTGTGTCTGCTGTTGCTACGGCAACTAGGTTTTGAGTTGTAGGGTAAAAAAAAAAAAAAAAAAAGCCGGAATAAGCACACACTGACTTAAACCGATGCTTCAGAAGTCTGTGAAAGTTTTCTTCTTTGACATTTGTCATAAAAAAACAACACAGTATTCAAATTATTATTGCAATGTACATGAAAACTGTCGGAAATTCATTGGTTTTTGGGTTATTATGCTCACGTGAGTGGCTTTTTATTTAACTGCCTTCAGCACTTAATTCGGTCAAACCAGGTTTGAAATGAGATCGTCCACCACCTCCTTCCTCATTTCACAGGGTGAAAGAGCGACGTGCAGCGTCTGGACGCTAACGAGATCTAAAGGCTCTCTCACAGGGACAAAGAGCTGTGGGGAGGGGGGAGGAAGGTGTCGTGGAAAAAAAGAGGAAGAAATATAGTGAGAGAGAATGAAAGGAATGCTAAAAATGATGGTGAACGAGAAATAATAGCAGGCTGAAAAATGAAAACAGCTCAGTTGTCTTTTTTTTCACCCAATATTCAAACATTAATTAATTAATAGCATTAGAGGATTACACAGAATCATATATCATACACAAAAGCATAATGCATTCAGAAAGTGATCAAACTTATTAATTTATTAGTGCTTTAAAAATTAGGTTACGTTTTTTTCTTATCCAAGATATAAATAAAAACCTGACTTAACACAGGTGTTTGCTTCAGAAAACTAAAAACCCTTAAAATCTCTCCAGCGTTTGACTTATTTAAATAAGAGCTGTTAATGGACTGATAAAAACTAATTAATTGCAAATCCGTAAAAAAAAAAAATAGCAATTAGTCACTTAAAGATGATCCAGGCATCAACTAAGTAATGACACAAGGGACTTTTGCTTTTTTTCTCAGACATACTGTTTAAAAGTATTAAAATAAATTTAGTATAAAAAAAACAGAATGTAACTTAGCTAAAGTGCATTATATACATTCATTCTTTGGCTTGAAACATTGAAAATGACTAAGTTTTATCAGATGTTGCTTTTTATCCATTGATAGTTTGAATGAGCAAACAAAAGTGAGATACGGCAACACGGAGGGGGCACCTCTTAAAATAATTGTTGCATTTAACTTATTTCTATCAAAGTAAAAAAAAAAAATAACGCAAATAGTGGATGTGATTATTTTAACAGCCCTAATCTTAACATATTATCAATGATGCCTACGAAAAACATTTGTAATCTTTGAACATTTTTGTATTTTGTCATGTCATAACCATGAAGAATAATCTAATTTCTCTGGTAAATCAACACAAAGCAGTGCATAATTAGGAGGTGGAACTAGAAGTTGATGTATGACATGGAGAAGCTCATTGATAACTGAGTTAAAAACCTTTCTTTTCATATCTCAAGGTATGACTCTGTCAGCTTTCCATGACTTAAGACGTTTTTCTCAATGAATTAGTCAGATTGGATGGACAGCATCTGTGAACAGAAATATTCAAGTCTTGCCACAGATTTTGAGTGGGAAACAGGTCTAGACTTTGACTAATCCTTTCTAATACATGGATATACTCCGATCCAAACCATTCCATTGTAACTCCAGTTTTATTTTCTTGGTCGTCCACCAGGATATTCAAGTTAATATCTTGAGTTAGTTTTTCTCCACAAACTGCTTTTGATCTCATTGGACCAGTGCTCCATTTTCCCACGTATTTGCCATGGAAACAACTTGGCTTGTGGCATTCAGGATTTCATTAGGTTTTTTTTCAACAATATCTTTATCATGGCCTCTCCTTCATAAAGACCAGATTTGCGATTAAAGACTAATCTCACAGTTTAAGCAGATGACCACTTTTGGATGTTTTACTTTACTTATTTTCCAAATTTCAGTAGACAGACTGAACTGATCTTAATGAAATGTTAAAAGGTTGAGACGTGTTAAAACCTTTTTCCTACCTGCCATCTTCCTTTAATAATCAATTGACTACATTTATTTAAGAATACTGGAGTAAATGGGCATGCACACCCCTCTTTTCAGACTTTTGTGAAAAATTACAATTTTTCTTGCACTTCAAAATTATGCACTGAATTGTGTGGCTGTATGTGATGTAAGAAAATGAAAACATTTTCAAATAGTGCAAGTACTTTTGAGACTTCTTTACTTTGGTTTGGGGAGAAAAAAAATGGAAAAACGGCAGAAAGATAAACATACATTTCAACTGCATACATACTTGTTTTTACTTCTGATTTACAAAAAGAAGATGTAACATATTCGCTAAAATGTTTACTTGACTCACACTTTAATCAGATCTGAATAATCAGCCAGATCAGGGTTGAAGTCAGTCACGCCACCCCCCCACACCAACGAGCCCCCTTAAACTCACACACATGCACACACGCACGCACACACACAGACTCCCACCTCCCACTGCGACCGGTCTGGCCCTGGTTGTTGCACCCTCGCTGTCCTACGCCCACGCTCCGTATGCTGTCAGAAATGTTGCTAAGTGTCTCAGTTCACACAACGCTAACACTGTCGCCAGCGCTGACACATGCAAACACACTAGCTTGACAAAAGTTTGGGAAATTCAAAAACAAGGCAGACAATTGCTCTAATGTTCAAATATGCATCCATAAAAACAGACACCTAAAGATTTGTGGCAGGAGATAATTTGTGCATCCATTTAGAAATCATGTTCAAGCCACTAAAGAAGAAAGAAAAACACAACAGCAGACTAAAAATGTGTTTCTTTGATATGAAATTTTTGTCAGTTTAGTCATGACATTTTCTGAAAAGTAATTTTATTTTGTTTGCAGTGGCTCTGAGTGAGTCAAAAGTTGCATTGTTTCTTTAAAATCATAAAATAGAGAGGGAGTAGTTTGTATTTCCTGACATGGCATATGACCTGCAAATTTCAATCAAGCAATCAATCTAACGATCGATTGATTTTCATTGATCAATCAATCAATCAATCAATCAATCAATCAATCAAGTTTATTTGTATAGCACATTTCATCATCAAGGCAATTCAAAGCACTTTACATCATAAGAACACAAAAATATAAAGTAACAAAGACAGTATACATTCACCAATAAAGAAACCAGCAACAGACATTACAATTTAAGGAGTGCCATTTTAAAAATCATCAGTACAAATATGTTGGTCAATGTTCCATTTATTATGATTCAAAAGCAACTCTGAGTATCTTTCAAAGACATAAAAACTGAAAAAAGTGACTCAGTTCAGTCCATGCAGCCGTTTGCTGCAGTGATGTTGCTCCTTTTTGACATTCTGATTAGATAAAATGTTAAATATACTGTGAAACCTGAGTTAACAAATTACAGGACTGGGCAATAAAACAATAACAATGTCTATCACGATAATCATGTGATCAATATCAGTAGTAAGTCTGATAGAATATTGATAATTTCACTGAACTGCTATTTACTATCCAGCCGTTCTGGATAGCTAGAACCGCACAGCATTCTGGGGAATGCAGACAGAGGAATAGCTTTAGCTGATCAACCTCTTGAGTTCTTGCAAAGGATGACCAGAATCCTGACCAGTGACCTGAAGGTGGCATGGCAAGACCAAGCAGTTAGCAGTGTTTGCTGCTGCTGGGTTCGAATTCCCACCTGTTGTTCTTCTCACTGCATATCTATCAGTCTTTACCGTTAAGCTCCCTTATCTGGTGAAGATTCATTGCAAAGTGTAAGGAGCCAAAACGTTCGAACTTGGACTTTTGACCGAGGCTAGCTTCTTCAGTTGTGATAAATACCAAGTCGGTGCCATGTGGTGCCAATATTTCCGACACAATTGTAACGCAGAATTAACTTTATGCATACTTTTTCAGTCCTGTCAAAATAAAAATCATGTATTAACTGATGCTGAAACTTTAGTGATTATTTATTATATTCTTGTTTTCTTTCACATATCAAATCTGGAAAACAATTGCCTCCCAAGGAACTGCAGCTGTGCGTTGCCAAGACATCCAACAACTCCGGGCTGCTGACTTTTTCTAAAAAAGCACATTATTTTTCACAAAAAAGCAGCTGTGAAAAAAATCCCTAGTGTCACTTCACCCACACTGGCTCACACTATTTGTATTCACAGGGGCCTAGAGAAGGCATGCACATAATTAGAGCCACTGACGGTTCTGCTCATTTTAAGGACGTTTAATGGCAGATGTCCCTGAACAGAAGAAAATGGTTCATTTTCAGTTGTAGACGTGATGCTCGATTCAGCAGTCTGACAGAATTTTACCCTCTGCAAATAAATGTCAATATGAAGAGACTCTTTGACAGTTGGTCGGCGACTGGTATATGGGATGTTGCTAAGTAACCAAAACCCTGACAGACCGAGGGATCAAGCTTCAGACCGAACAGTTGGTGTGTGTAGGATGTGTATACATGCCGTAGTAAGTGTGTGACTAAAAAAGGTGTGAGTTGACTTGAACCAGAAAGAAAAATACTGAAGTTTAAGTCATGGCCTGATGGCTTTT